CAAGGGGGGGGGAGGAGGAGGAGGAGGAGGAGGAGGTTTTGGGACCTTCGCAGCTGACATTTCTATTCAGATGGGACAGTTGAGACTAAGAGAAGAGCGAGAAGAAGAGGAATGGACCCAAAGCGAGCTGATCAACTGGTACGAAGGAGGAGGAGGAGGGGCAGGAGAGAGGAGATGGAGGGAGGAGGGAGGAGGGAGGAGGGTGGAGGGTGGAGAGGAGAGGGCAGGAGAGGAGGAGGGTTCAGGTATTGAGCATCACGGCAGGTATCTGGATCAGAGGGATGACATCGACAGCGAGGAAGGCCTCGCCCTCGCCAGCAGGATCGTCAGCAGCATCATCCAGAGACTCATCGTGACTGAGCACTGGATCGTTATCCTTAACGAGGACGAGGTAGGATGAAGTTGCTTGTTTCCTGCTCCTGCTCCTGCTCCTGCTCCTGCTCCTGCTCCTTCTCCCGCTCCTGCTCCTGCTCCTATCTTACGGGTCCTCAGGTTCGCGACATGGCTGGCTCCGCTGCTGACAGGAGAAACGCAAGAAAGCTGGCAGTGCATCCGAACTGGATCCCTCCCAACGCTTAAGACAGTTAGGGGGAGAGGAGAAGGAGGAGGAGGAGGAGGAGGAGGAGGAGGAGTTGTGTGTAATATTTTATCTCGAGATTACAAACTGAAGACAAAAGGAACAGTTGAGGAATGAAAGTGAGAAAATCTCTTTTCCCCTCCCCCTCCTCCTTTCTCTCTGCCCCTCCCTCTCTTTTTCCATCAGCACCGCGCGTCTCAAGACGTCTCCCCTCCCCCTCCTCTCACTTTCCCGCACCCACCTTCTCGATCCAGTCCACCACAAACTCTGCGTTCTACAGGACCAGCGTCAGCCGCTCATCTACATGACCCCATCAAACGTCTTTCCTTACCTCCTTCCACGTGTCTTCCAACATGATCTTCAACAAGCAAGAACCAAGTCAGGCCTTGTCGACGCAGAAACGCCTTCCTCTACCTCATGGGCCCCGGGCAGGAACTTCGCTTCGCACCCGTAGAACTCTGCAGCAACCAACGTCACCCCAGCCATGCTCACAACATGGCCGCTGGACCTGCCGTCTCCTCCACGGCCGGCGCGTCCACGACCTGTCAACATCGCACGTCACCTCCTCCTCTTGACAGGCTGCGACGTTCCTTATCGTCCCTCGTCCCAACCACCAGCACTGGAGGCCCGACACTCAGCCTGCCAACTCGTCGTCGGCTCCTCTCTTCAACTCTGATTGAGCAGAAGACTGACCAGTCTGCCTTCCCATCCTCTCCTCGACATGTCTTGCTGGGGAATTCTTTGATTGCCTGCATCATCATCATCATCATCATCATCCTCATCCTCATCATCATCATCATCATCATCATCAGCAGCAGCAGCAGCAACAACAACAACAACGGAAGCAGCAACAGCAGCACATCTCAAGAGGAAAACCTTGCCGACGTCGAGCCCGACGACGCTATCTCTTGCAAACAGCTGCATGTATTCTCGGACCTGCGATCATCATCACCACTCGGAGCTTCATCGCAAACACAACAACTCACCTGCTCATCAGGCGGATTGTCTTGAGAGAAGAAGATCTGACATCCTTGTCACACCATTCCATTCCTCCCAGTAACAAACCTTCCGACAGATGTCGAGGTCTGTTCCTGCCTTTTTCAGCACAAAGGCCTGTACAAACTCATCCTCCTCCTTCTCCTCCTCCTCCTCCTCCTCCTCCTCCTCCTCCTCCTCCTGTTCCATACCTGCACAATGTCCCAGGCCAATCTCGGCTTAGAGAAGATGTATCTTCTCACAGTCCCAGAAGCCCCTGCAGACACTCAAAC